TAATTAATTATTTCTACGTAATATTTTAATTTGGTCTAGAATCGTATTGATTTTCAAGCGAAAAAGTTATTTCCGCAAGAAAAATGTTTTGTAACTTTATTTACAGTTACATTTATTAGGGTTGCAATATTTGGTGTACGTTGGGTTGTCTATATATTGTACTACAGATTGTAGTTTAACTTATTGGAAAAAGAAAATATATATTAATATTAGAAGGCCTAACGGCGTCTAAATGAAAATAACATACCTAAAAGATGAAAATTCATCGGTCTACTTCAATTAAGTCACAGGTACACCTCAATTGGAGCCTTTATTATAAAACTTCCCGGCGCCTCCACCAAAATTTTGAATAAAATAATAAAAACACGTTAATGTATCTTCAAGTGCGATTTAATTTCGGCATTGAAATGATACGTTTATAATAAAACTTATCTAACTACTCGAAATTAATTACGAAATACCTTTAGCAGTCCCTCATACAAATGTGTAAGGGTGTCCAACCAAATCTTCCAAGAAGATGTTATTAATAACGTTACTAACTAATGAATTATTTCTTCTAATATTTTGATTTGTTCGAGGGAAATATTGATTTTTACTTAAAAAAGTTATTTTCATGAGAAATAAGTTTTTTAACTTTATGTATAGCTGTGTACATTAGGGTTATAATATTAACTGTATGTTGGGTTGTCTATGTATTATACTACGATACATATTATAATTTAACTTATTGCAAAAAGAAAAATATATTAATTAGCTTCCCTAACGACGTCTACATTGAAAAAACACACTTTCAAGATGAAAATTCATCGATCTATTTCAATTAAGCTTAATTAGTCTTTGTTCTAAAATTTCCTGGCGCGTCTACCAAAATCTTTAAATTATACTTTCTGGGAAGAGGTATGTTATCAAAAATAACTGATTTCTAGTATTAAAACAATAGTTTATAATAACAATTAACTAACATTTGTAATTAGTAACTTAAATACTTTTTAGCTGCTGCAAATACAAATACGTAACGATTTTCAACCAAATTTTAATAATGCTACCAAATAAGTAAATATTTTTACGTAATATTTTGTAATTTTTTCGAGAAAAAAGTAATTTTTATGAGAAAAACGTTTTATAACTTTATTTATGGTTACATTTATGACGGTTGTAATATTTGCTGTATGTGTTAGATTGTCTATTTAATGTGGTAATTTTTGTTCTTGTTTCAGCAAAATTATTTAATGAAGTTCGGCTACCTGAGTTCGTCGCCTCAGTCCGCGGGAGCCCTTCGAACCGAAAGGTCAATTCGTGACGCGATACGCGAGTTACAGGAATTCGGCGGTGTTCCTGCTACCGGTGAACTCGACCAGCGGACTCTAAAGTTACTCTCGAAACCTCGGTGCGGACTTCCCGACAAAATTCCACATACTGGAAGAGTTAAGAGGTTTATGCTGCAAGGACAGAAGTGGCAATATTCAAATTTGACCTGGAGGTGAGTCGTTTTTCTTTCTTTGTAATTTATAAGGTCAAAGAGATGGGTTTTTAATCAAATTTTAATGGTTAAGTAGGAAGTTTGCGGTACTTTTTCTATCGAATTGTACGACTGATCTTCACCCTTCCCTTCAAATCTGATTACACTGGTTTTAGTTTTTAAAACTTCGATCAGGCTCTATTGTATTCCGTATGAGAGGATACCCTCGAAATTCAATAATTTACTTTTATTTTCTTTTTAATTCTTGTATTAATTTTTATAATGGTTTCTTTATAAGACTTCAATTATTTCAACTTTTAAAAATGTTTAGTGTGGTAATACTATTGCGCCATCTGATGAGCACATACTGGAAGCACTGTAGATTTCATTGCCTATATTTTGCAGTTTACTGCATTGGTGTAGTCTCCAGTTCATGTTGCTTCTGACAGATAGCGCCAAGGGTTCTAGGAAACATAAATTGTCTTAAAAACGAAAATAATGGTTTTTAGAAAAAGCATAGATAAATCAACACCGTATTATTAAAACAAGTGCATTGAATTTTATTGTATCATTAAAACAAGTAGCGAAAAGAAGATAAAAAAAGCATCGCCCGAGCAGGGACTTGAACCCTGGACCCTTGGATTAAAAGTCCAATGCTCTACCGACTGAGCTACCCGGGCACATGTTGGTGATACTTCGAATAATGTCATTGTGTGCAGCAGAAGTAAATAATAAATAGCAGTGGCGTAACATAGATTTTTACTTACAATACTTCCGTATATAATACAACCACTTCTTTATTTTTTTTGCGGTTAATTATTGTAGAAACGCTTTTAATTAAGTTAACGTTTATTAAAAAAAAT